ACCGGTGCGCTTCATCCACGGCGTAAGCTCGGAGACATGTCGTGCCTCCGTCCATAACGAATTTCGTTGCTGTTGAAGTCCAGCTCGGTACCGTTCCATAATTTGATCCCATGCATTATCAGGAACAATGGGGGGAGATGATTGGACGTCACTGGAATATAGGAAAAGATTCGTATATGGTCATATTCACACGAGGTAAAGAAACAGATAGGTACTTACCAGCGGGTAGAAGCTGGGGCGACATTATTTGGTGCATTGGCCCGGGGATATATATATTGTGGGGTAGCGGACTGGTGGACTTGGTCTGCCAGAACTACTGAAAAGTGCTGTTGGTATTGCTTCTGCTGAAATAACGTTTGCATGTATGCTTCATTCCATGGCATAGCCCCTTGCTGCAAAACTTTCCACTGATGCACTTCATTATAGTGTTTCCGAATCCGGTCGCCGTTAATCGAACGAAAGTCGCAGTCAGGGAAGTGGCAGAGGAAGCCCAGTGCGGCCGGCAGCCCGCGAATCTCGTTAGTACCATCTCGAGGCTGTACAACATCAGCAATAGAGGTAGCGACGTCGTTCAATCGACTCGATGATTCAATCCTCTGCCGTTCTCTACGTTTTATCTGATGCTTCTCTAAAAGATGTCTGGAGAGGTTCTGTCGTGTATAGCAGCAGCCGTGGGTTGTGCAGAGGATAACATGGAAATCTGGCAGGACTCGAAGGTACGATGGAAAAGCATCACGATCTGCTTCCACCATTGATGCTGCGAAACTGTTACTGCGCTCAGTTATAATATAATAATCGAAAAATGGATCCTGCCAAACAGAATGCAAAAAGATGTAGTGATTTAGTTGTGGGGATATATTGGACTGCGCGCGCCCTGACATAATTAAACTACTCTGATCATACCGAACAAACTGCAAAAAGATGCAGTGATTATGGTAGTGGTGACAACTTTGATAACAGCGTGAATTCTTAGAGGGATTTCAGCTAGCGTCTTCCATGTAAATTACTTAACGTCGGAGTCTTGTGTTTGTCAAAATTTCTGAATCACGCTGTTATCCAACGCCTACGATATGTTTGTCACTCTAGGTCATCAACACAATTCTTTCGAGAGGATAAATCGTCTGAAGAAGCGAACACACAGGTTCGTGAAAGGATAATCCTAACGTCCCTCTCGAACCATTTCAATCGCTTCTTCAGCAACAATCGTTATATCGGCAATGCCTTACATTTTAATCCTAACTTCGCTCTAGAACATCGTACACCTTGCTCCTTCAGAACACCTTCGTGAAATCGGCACCTCCCCACTCCTCTCCTCACGCCACAGTCACTACTGGTCTCCATACATTCGACACTCAATATTAAAGAATTTCTATCGATCGACTTACGAATATGACTTTCCCTTCCTCTTGGGCTTTAATTCCTCCGCCCAACTCCGTACACTCATTAAACACATCGTTTCGCTACAAAACATTATGCTCCAGTGGATATGCCAAGGCCACCGAGGGCATGAGATAAGCCACTGCATTTCCGGCGACCTCCCCCTCCCCTCTCCCCACCGCATACAGGCACTCGCAATGCGCTTCCAAGCCAAAATAACCACTTTGCACCCCGACAACCCACTCCGTTCCGTAGTTACCCATCTTCGCCAACTCAGGTAAAACTATCCAAGACCGTCCTATTACCACTAGTAATACTCTTTGTTGCTTATGAAGGTAGGAAAAAGTCAACCCCAATTGGCTATGGTGGTAGCTATTGAATCCATGGAATTAACGATGACTCAAAATGTTACATAGCAAAGGGTTTGTTGCACTGTCGAAATTCTGTCCACGCCTACGTTCAACATTGATGACATTGGGCTACATAGTCGTAAAATGAATAGGACTTTAACAATTTGAGCATCCGGAAGCAGTACGGTAGGTCATTATTTATTATATGGTATAATGGGAAAAGATCTCATAACAAAGCTCTATCACAAAATAGAGGGGAATCTAGTAGTATTGCTACTGCTACAAGGAATAACCATGACAGAGTGATAGCGTCGATGGTGAAAATGAAGAGAAAGGCAATGGGAAGACGGTGTGATCTCATTCTTAGAAAGCATTAAGCTGAATATAGTTGTGCTGAAGCTGGCGCCAAGGATGAAGGACTTTGGGGATCAAAGAAGCTTCTTAAGAAAGGGGTGAAAGCAGCAAAGGCTCTAAAGGATATGCTGAGCCAGTTATCTGATCTTGTGGGCAATGATGAATCTTCTGTAAGGCAGCTTTGCACCATTGGGTACATCATATCAGGTATACTTATGGACAGTAATGTATGCATTAAGAAGGATGCTTTAATCATCATATATGTAATAGGAATGTCTCTACAGGTGATGTTAATGGATTCACCGACAGGATACTGTTGTCGAATAACAACGTCCAAGTTGTTTTCGATACCTACAAGTGCTTTGCAAGTCAGACGCAAATTACTACCATTAATGTCAGCCCTGATATCGACAAAGGTAAGTTTGTGATTTCAGAATGAGGAATGAGCTTCAATGCTACTTGGTACTCAAAGTTTGTTTTATTAAAGTTACTGATGCTGAAAGTCCTTCATGAGGTTGAGCATCATGATTTGGATGACGATGATTTGGAGATTCTCTAGCGAATACTTTTCAGGAAAAACCGTCAATGACAGGATTATACGAGAGGAGTCTTCCTTGGCGTTGGTTTCGCTATCTCCAACAGCGAGCTCCCAAAATGACGATCAAAGCCTTTGCTTCCAAACAGACAGAACCGGAAACTAGACAGATATTGGAGTCGTCAGGAGGAACCGGAGGCGCAAGCGATGGATGCGTTCCGTCAACGTTGGCCAACACACGGATTATACCTCTATCCACCGTGGCAATTGATTCCCAAGAAGTTACAGGCAGATAAAGTGCGTTCGGCAGTACTTCTGACTCCAACATGGCCCACGCAATTCTGGTGGCCAATGGTGTTGACCAGAGCACGGAAATCACCGATTACCTTGCCAGTTTGCCGCCAGTGGTCTTTGACCGCATGGCTCTTGTAGCAGCAATTCATCGTTTCCAAGGAGTTGGAGCCGCTGAGTCTCAATACTTGTTAAAGGCACTCCATTAACGGACGCATACAATGTACAGCACACATTGGAGAAGTTGGGCCGAATGATGCCTGAAAAGATCACCTCCCTTTTAATCCTTTGGCACATAAACCGCATCCACTCCTTCAATACCTGGTGTCATCGAACTCAAAGTCGTTGGGACATCTCAACACTATGCGCTGTGGAATTATCTCGGTCTTGGATTTAGCCTATCAAGACCGACCATCCCTATCAAAACATATTTTGATCAAACAATTCTTCAAATCACAACGCCATGCCAACCCAGTGATTCCCAGTACAATGCGAGAAGTTTGCAGTCTCAAACCAATCTTGGATCTCATCTCAAGCTGGGGTAACACCAACGATTTGACATTCGAACAACTTCAACAAAGGACGGTGTTACTGATCGCAATCGCCACAATGTGGAGACCAAGATCGGATCTAGGAACATTGCAAAGTAGAGACATAAAATTTACAATGCAAGAGAATGTCCCCACAGCGGTGACGCTCATGGTGCGGGAGCCAAAAGAACGGCATCCGAAGAAATCTTTCCTTGGCATCATTGGCGAACATAGATGTGTCCAGTGAGGACTTGTGGAAGTTTTTTCATAAGACCAAGGAGAAACGAATCAATTTACCGGAAGACCACACTTTGTTCTCCCAAACGTAAAACAATTGACCTTCCAAGTTGCAATATTACACCTACCGCATTGGCCGTCGGCGCTCTGGTCCCCACTGCCAATCTCAATGGCGATAGAACCTCCAGTTCTCCTAGACCCCAAAACGCAGACAATGTTAAGCATCCATTCCGCCATTTACCCATGGACAAATCCAGATTGGAAACTTTTCGTCTGGAAACTATCGGGAAGCGGTTCGAAAAGCAAGACTATTCACCATCCGCCATTCAGTCTTTAGTCCAAGCGGTGGTACATGAAACAGGACCCAAATCACCGTGTTGTCATATGCCCAGTATCTTTTTCTTCAGTGGACAACTAGGAATGAGATCAACCCCAACACTTTGCTGAAGCATTCAAAACGTATAGCACCGCCGAAACAACTGTTGAAACCACAGGTTGATGTCAGCCCTACATTGCGCTTCTTGGCACAAATACCTTATGCTTCCTCAACTCCATTGGCTGAACTGAATAAGAAAAAAGCTTTTCTTTTGGCCATGGCTGCCTTTCTACGTCCCTCGGATCTCGAACTCATCAGTCTACATAATTGCATAGTTACTAGTCACGGTGATTTGGTTATCAAGGTGGTCGCACCCAAAGAACTTCGTGCGGTTCGAAAAATTGTCAAAACGCTTACTATACGCCGTAATGACAACTTCAAAGAACTATGTCCAGTCCGGTCGTTCAAGGCTTTCAAAATCGCATCCATTGGTACCCAAGCGACAATCCAATAAGCTACTGGTCAATGCTAAGGATCCCTCTAGGCCCTGAAAACTATCACTATCTCTACATGACTTCGCAATTTGATGCGCCTCTCGACCCATGGAGTTCCATCTTTTATTTTGACTGATCAAGGCTCAAACTTCACCAGTTCGTAGGTGTCTTCCTTCCTGCGCCGGTTGGAGTGTCGTCACCTCACCATCACTGCTTATCGCCCGCAAACAAACGGACTAGTGGAACGAATGAAGCAAACTGTGGTGCAGGTTCGATAAAACCGATTCCCTCAGTCCGCTCCGGTGCGTCTAACCTGGCCTTAGCTCAGGGTGCTCCATTGTCCGACGTCATCAACATGGGAAACTGGTCATCTGCAGAGGTGTTTGACAACCACTATCGTCGCCAACGACTACAAAAGCAAAATATCACAAATTTTTTTATAAGACTGTAGCTCTTCTTTGCCATATATACGCTGAAGTAGCATCTCTAGGCTCATGTTAGTTCAGTCCTCCGGACTGAACTAATAATAGGTTAAAGCCGGCGATCCATTTATGAGGTCACGTGAACGCTCTATCTTAAAGTCTGACAAAACGGAGTCTAGTTTTCAACCCCTTTTCACTCCGCATAGCGAGCATTGGCATGACATTCATATATGGAATTCTTAATGGACAAACTTTTTATGGACGTTGAAGGTGTAAAATTTGTGAGGTACATATGACTGCTTTGGCCAAATGTTGAAATTCGAAGATTGTAATTATTGTTGCATTACCAGAGGAGAATCGAGTAGCATCGGCAGTACGGAAAGAAAGAGAGAGGACACGTCGAGTAGTGGGCTGTCTAATAGACGAAAAATTGGTCGACGCAGCGACCTTATTATCAGAAGCGCAGGAAATGGAAGAAATGTCAAGTATGGTGCAGCGAGGTTGGAAAAAGCTTTGATGGCGAATACAACCGAAAGTTGCTGTATGAAGGAAACTTGGAAGTTTCCGAAAACCTACGTGACACGCTATCTGCACTAGCTGAAAAGGTGTCATGACGAAATTAGCTGATAAGAAGCCTACAAACAGTTGGATATGTGCATGGTGGTAAGTGGAGTGGAGACAAGACTGGCGATATGATGTTGATTTTGACATGTTTTAAGTCTCGCACTACAGATGATGAGTTTGGACCTTCCTGACGGCTATGTGACATGCATTACGAAAGGAAAGCTCCTCGAGATTCCTGCCACAGTTAGTGAGTTTAGCATGGCTGTGAGGTTGATGGCGGAGGTGCTGCTTATGAAGGTAAGAAAAAGCCAATCCCAATTGGCAATGATGGTAGCTACTGAATCCATGGAATTAATGATGACTCAAGATGTCATATAGCAAGGAGTGTCTTGCACTGTAACCTTGTCATAATGGAACCTTTACAGAAGGATACTATGGCCTATCTGAAGTTATTTATTGGTGTATGTGGCATATATAATAGTAGTACGAGGGATTGTCATTTGCGTTTTGCTAATGTTGTACATTTTGTAGTCTACGACAAACAATTACGAATGGCATGCTTGAAGGATTGGAATGTACCGTCCTTACAACAGGACAGAACACTGTCATCAAGATTGGATACGGAGGACTATTGATCTAATGTAAGTCATTTACTATTAACTTTGAAGGCTTGGAATTTAAAGATTCTTGCATTGATGGCCGTCTTTGTCGCAGGATTGCAGAATTCGAAGCTAGAAGTCTAAACTTGCAACATTCTGAAAGCTGGTATATGGCTAGACTCTGGACAATGATCGACAGAGTATTTGCTGATGTTGAGGATCTGGAAGCAGTACGGTAGGTCATTATTTATTATATGATATAATGGGAAAACATGTCATAACAAAGCTCTATCACAAAATAGGGGGGAATCTAGTAGTATTGCTACTGCTACAAGAAAAAAACATGACAGAGTGATAGCTTCGATGGTGAAAATTTATAGATAAGCAATGGGAAGACGGGGTGATCTCATTTTAAGAAAGGATTCCGCTGAATATGTTGCTCTAAAGCTGGTGCTAAGGATGAAGGAATTTGGGGAACTAAAAAGCTTTTGGAGAAAGGTGTAAAGGCGGCCAAAACTCTAAAAGACATGCTGAATCATCTCCGTCATTTGGTGGACAACGTGGTATCATCTGTTAGACAGCTTCGCACTATTGGATACATCCTTTCTGGTAGGCTTATAATAACAGTATGCGTTAAGAAAAATACATTATAACCAATGGTTTGTAATAGGTTTGTCTATGGAACTAATGATTACGGATTCGCCAATGGGCTACTGTTGTCGAATAACACGGTCCAAGTTGTTTTCGATACCTAAAAGTGCTTTGCAAGTCAGAAGTAAATTGCACCCATTAATGTCAGCCCTAATATCAACAAAGGTAAGTTAGAGATGTTCAGAATAATGAATTCAATGCTACTTAGTAATCAAATTTTGTTTTGTTAAGTTGCTGGTGGTTCAAGTTATCGATGAGGTTGATAATCATGGCTTAAATGATGTTGATTTGGAGGAATCTTTAGCATATAGTTTTCAGGAAGAACCGTCAATGACAGGATCTCCAAACGTAAAACGATTGTCCTTCCATGTTGCAATATCACACCTACGAAACGAAAGCGAAGTAGCTTATCATAAATGAAAGATATCTTTATACGCAAACCTTTATTTCATTATTTCTATAGAAGGTGTGGAAGTGGATATAACAAGTGCGTGATATATATGGCCAAAAACACTCCTCATAGCTTTTTAAAACACAGTGTTTCGACAGTATTTCGAATGTATGGCTCGGTAATGGTCCCTGTGATAGTGTTCTGCACAGCCCTTTTTGTGATAAGTTTTTTGGTTTGGTTTGGTTTGCTTATAGTACGATACGCTTGAATTTAAGAGAATGCTTTATTGCTACATGCCTATTTAAACATGTCAACTGACTTTTGGCTAAGGAATTGCTTTTTCCTCCCTTTCCAAGTCCTTCTATAACTCATTGTCAGACATCTGCAATCACGAAATAAGACAGAGTGCTTCTTACCGCGATTTGCAAGCACTTTCAATATATTGGGTATACACCATCGATGTCAATTTTAAAAAATTGGGGCTGTCTTTTAGCGCTTATAATGAAAAAGAAGATTAGCTTATAAATTGCTTGCCACACTTGCGATGTCACCTATACAATAGCCGACAAGCAAAGGAGACGGCTCTGTATTTATCAAAGACGTTACAAAGGAATGGTTTGGTTCTCATACGAATGTCTGCAAATGAGATTAGTGATTCAGAATCGCTACACGTCATTTTATTCTTGTTAGCAGAAGGACATTCACATGTGTTGCTATTGCCATCTTCCTAGCTCAAACCCAAAAGTACGCGTCTTTAATTCAAAATTAAGAAATGCGAAAGATGGCGAAGCACAATTTCGCAACATCCATGTCCAATTTGCACGTTTGTTGCTGCTTTCAAATACAGTCTTCGACGAAAAGATTGAATCAACCAGAATTAGAAGTTGGCAAGGGTCAACGCGGATATCATACGCCTAAGAATCCTGAGGTAAGAAAAGCAGTTGAGGTGAGTATGATAGATGTAATGATATAACCGTTCTTCCTTTATTTGAGATCACACCAAATACAAGTGGAGGTTTAATGATAAGATTAACGAACGAACGCGGGAGGCAGAAGCCTTGCAGTTTTGAGGTGATGTGGACAAGAAGTAGGCCATCAAAGAAAGGCGCGGAAAGCGGGATATTGTGGAGTGGGAGAATATTTTCATGGAGGGTTCTCGAGGGTGGAGAAGATTTTTGGAAAGGAATTTTTTAATATGGAAGGAGTGGAGGGTAAAGTAAAGTAGAGAGTTCTAGTCAAGGCTGTTATGAAGTGGATGTGCTGGTGAGGAGGGTTGAGATGACTTTGGAGAGAGAGAAAAGTGAGTAAGGTGGTGGCAGGATAAAAGGGTGAAAGGCGAGTGTGAAGGAGTGAAGAAAAAAAGAAGCAAAGGGAAGCTTGCTATTAAAAAAGAAAGGGTGATTAAATTGGTAAAAAAAAAAAAAATTGTCGATCAGTATTGTCCCCCCTTCCTTTTAACTATCTTGCTTCCTTCCACCTCCACGGCATTTGACGTCTTTTGAAAAGCACTGGCCGTGCCGAGGAAGCATGAGCGACAAAGGGTTGACTTGCACTGAGTCAAACCGTCAGATAGGTTCATAGTATATGCTCGAGCAACTCGGAGAAATGCCTATTAAAGCGAGCTCAAATCTTACCAGCACTATGCTGAAGGGCTAAGTGCACATATGGCTGGCATACTTGGACTGAAACTACTCATGGCTCGGAGATTCAGGCTGCCATCTTCTTTAAACTGCTTTCTACTAGCTTGCCACCCAGCTTGTAACGACATTTCAACGTCCGACATACTCCGTAAAACTTAACCAGGAGTCCGATGGCAATATACACAGTCTAGGGTGTACAGGTACGTCTCGTTACAGCATCATTCAGAATACAGCGCTGATTAATACTAAACGGTAATTTTATGCACAAGTCATCTCTGAATCGTTTGCTGCAAAATACGTAAAACACTTGTCATCAACATTGTCCTGTATTGATCACTGAGCGCCTGTTACTCACCTATTCTTATAACTATACCCATCATTTTATGGTTCCAACATTACCACATACCTTAGAGAAAAATCAAACAGTGCGTAGATGTACGAATTTCAAAATAAAAATTTGGGTGTGTAAAGTACAAGGTAGTGTTCCGAACTGAACATAGAACAATATCAAATACCTATTTCCAAGTCATTCTCAAGTCGTTCCCAAATACCAGCCACTCGCTCCCAAGTCGTTCTCCTAAAAACTATCCATTCAACCGATTTACGTATACATTTCCATGGAAAAACTGATGGGTCGAACCCAAACCTCAACCTCGAACCCAAAACGCAGTCACTTATACAAAAGGTCGAACCCAAA